TTCCAATTCACATTTGAATATGTTTGCGTAGTTATAATCAAGTACACTAGAGATTTGGCCACTAGCACTCACTTTAAATATACCTCCGTCTGAGATATTATAAATGGGTATTTTAAGACGCTTGGCTAATGCTATGTCTTTGTCAGACGGTCCATCCCCCCACTGATCGCCCATAGGATGAGTATGCATTGCAGCCTTTATGTAATAAACGACATTATCTAAAACAAAAGATTGGTTACCAGGATCGCCAATAAAATCAGATGTTGAACCAAGAACGCTCGTGTTCACAGTATTCTCATTATCAGGTAGCCAAAATATCCCCTTATCTGTTATTATAGCCATTTGTTCTTTGTGCGTATCATTGTTTTGGCGGTCCCACATTGCTTTAAACGTTTTACAAGCATCATCCTTTGATGATTTCTTTGCATTTTTTATACGATCAGGTAGAAGCGAATTATCATCAGCAATAACGGGTAATGTCCAAAGTCCATCAAAGAATTTATAGTAGGTAATATAACCAAAGTTCGGATCGACATAAATATGTATGTAGCCCTCAGATGGGTTTGATGGATGGTTGCCTTTAACATCGACTTCCTTCAAAACAATGTACCAGTTTTTGCCATCCCAGATATAGGTCACTCCCGAAGACGAGGTGTAAGTAGTACCTACTGGTGGTCTAGTTGGTGTACCGTTAGGTGTAAACGTATCACTGCCCGATTGGGTATATGTAGTGCCTCCACCTGTACTTCCAGTAGGTTCAGCTCCGGCTGGGGTTGCAGTCACGGTTACATCAATATCTAGCCAGACGCCCGGCCAATTTGAGCCAGGGTCAATGATTGCCCCGCCAGCGTGGACATGACAAGGAGAATCAAAATCAGACATGCTATAGATATTTTGCTCACTAAGGAATTGTTGAGTAACAAAGCCATTAGCTGAGTGAAAGAGTTCGGAAGTTAAATGGCTATCATTCCACCCGCTCTTTGACTGGACAGGCGTAGTTTCTAAAGCCACATCATCAAAATAGACCGGCACTTTACTTTGATTATGTAAACGGATAACCGCATACCCATCTTCAGGCGCATGCCCGTCAATATGCAAAACCTGCCAGCCCTCACGAGCGGTTTTATCAATATGTACCTGCTGGCGATGCACAAACCTACCCTGTTTGTTGTAAAAGGCCAACTCAAGTCCAGCATTAGGCACCCGATTTGCCAGCAGTGACTTTACTAAAGGCACCATGAGCGCTGTACTCACGCCAAGAGTGGGTGCGAGCTTATTCACATGTCGTTGATCGGGCGCAACGGTATATTTCTGAGTTAATGCCAAACCTGCCAGTACACCACCCACAGCAGCAGCCGTTAGCTGGGGAGTAAGATTAGGCTTTGATTGAACTGGGGCAAAAGCATAAGCATTCAATGATAAAATACCCTGCTTGACTGGAATTAACCGACTCGTTAAAGAAGTAATATTATTTGCACCTTTGCCCATAAGCTGAAGCGAGACTGAACCTGTATGTGCAACAGCACTTGAGCG